ATCGAGGAAACATGAAAAAGGGGTATATGTATTAAGTCATTCTCTACTTTCAATGCTTAAAAGAATGGGCTGAATAATTTGCAGTTAAAGTTCAACGCGAGCAGTATTTTCTAATTGCGGGCAGACTAATTTTTTTTTATTAATTTTTTGCGAAAGAACATTAATTTTTACCCTTGATATACTTGGTATACAGGGGCGTGATGGTTGGGAGAAGTAAGTGGATGGCAATGGGGATGCGAGGTTGGGCGTTTGCGCCGCCTGAGCGGAGGAGCGGGCCCAGTGCGCTGCGGCGCGGCGCGGCGCCGTGGGTCATGAGTGGGACAAGGCTGCCTGCACGTCGCTGCTGCTGGCGACCAAATACGGAAGCGATTGGGCCTCGGCGCGCTGGCCGCGCCAACGGGGACCGCCACCGGCCACCGGCCACCGGCCACCGGCCTCAACCCAGGGCCGGCACCGCCATTGCTTCGGTTCTCACAAAAGCGTTCTCCATTCATTCGGCGGGTAATTGTTAAGCGCATGGAAGGCGACACTTCAGAATGAGTATTCACAGTCTTTAGCGTTGAAGGGGTTGTTGTGTGCCTTTAGTGCTGGGAAGTCGATTTGAGATGACGCGAGTGGCCGGCGAATCGATTCCTTTTTAAGCGTTTGCGAGAACAAGCGTTTTGTTTGTTTTTGTGTATGTGTGTGTGTGTGTGTGTGTGTGTGTGTGTGTGTGTGTGTGTGTGTGTGAACGTGGATATCTCAGTAGAAAAAGGGCTCGTGTGTTGACCCTACTTATTGAGCGTATTTAATGAAATGCACATTAACCTTTTTAAATGACGGCCGTCATCGGGGCCTTGGGAAACCCACCCGCGGCTGCGGCCAGGGCTCCGCTTGCTGCAGCGCTGGCGGAAGAGCGGCGGCGCGGCGCGGCGTCTGGCAGCAGCGCCCAGGGCGTCGTCCCTTTTAATCGCGCGTCGTGTCGCGGGCGGTCCTTGCACCTGCCGCGCGCCGATCAGCCCTCCTCCCCCTCCCGATCCCTCCCCCTCCCCGCCCTCAGCCGCGCCGGCCGAGCGACGGCGTCGACAGCCGCGGCGGTGGCGGCGGCGGCGGCGGAGGAATCCCCGCGCTTATTCTGGTCTGCGGCGGGCGCCGCGCCGCGCGGAGCGGAGCGAAGCGGCAGAGCTGTGCGGCGGCGGGGCTGGGTGAAAGGCCCGCCTGCGCTCGCGCTCGCGCGCGCGCTGCAAATGTCACGTGCCGGGGCCGCCGCCCGCCGCATAGTGCACGCTGCACGCCCTGCACCCCCGCCTAGAGTTCACTTTCGTTTGGAAACGACCGCGCGGTTTGTAGGTTGGCTTCGCCCTTCTCGAGAATGTTATGGAGCGGGCGATGTAGTCGCCGTATCGAAGCCTTTCTAGGGTTCCACCGGTTTGAAGCTTGCGCTTTAAATGTCATCACGAAATACTTGTGCTGTACATTCTTCCATAATATTACCATTTGACTACCCCTAAAATCTGTACAAAACCTTTTGTGGTGGCCACATTTATGTGTGAATTAAACCAATATCTCCAAAATTAAATTCTATGGAAACTAAATGTAAATTTCTCTGAAGTGCGTGTTCAACGTATTTGGGATTCTCAGGGGTTTGGAGTTGCGCAGTTCTTTGAGCTGCCTCTAATTGTGTAATGTGTTTTGGTTTTAGAAATATCAGTCTCAATTTTCAATGGAGTACTCTACGTATTTCGTTTCAAGATAAGTCTAGAAAGTTCGCGTTTCTCCTTTTTCACTTTCGTTGGTTCGTCCACCGGGACGGCGCCTTGGGCGCTTGACGGAGTGGTCTGGAGGCGCCGAAATGGGAAGTCGTTTGCTGCTGCCCTGTGTCTGTCTGGTAGAGCGAGCGAGCGAACGAACGAACGCCGCGGCGTGGCTCGCCCGGGAGTGCGGGCGGGCAGGCGGTGACCTCGCGGCGGTCCGCGTGAAAGGCGGCCAGCGCGAGAGTCCGCGCCCGCGCCCGCCCTTTCGCCGCACAAAAGAATTGAGCTGATTTCCATCAGGTTCAGCGGAAAGAATATGGACGTAACCGTCAAAATAATTTTTTTCTTCTTCTGTCAATTCCGCCATGTCAAACCTCTACTTTGAAAAATCCACTTAGGAAATGTCCACTTAGAAAAATCCGCGGTTTAGGTGGAGATGACGATGATTAGGAGTGATTGCGTAATGAGCCGTGGAACCAACTGTGAGCGCTTGAAGGCAAAGGGCAAAGAAACTTCGGAGCCTTTCGGTCATTCGTCTGTTCATCTTGACTGAGGGGATAGTGAATCGCGCCAGTTAGTCCCAGCGCGCCTCGCTTTTCTCTGCTGGTGACTGGATATTTCGACCTCTAGATATAGAGGCTTTTCTGACGGTTTTGGGAAGAAACTGCTTAAAGCGTGTGTTGGTCGATCTGAATCCTAGCAAACTCAACATGTCTCGGATCGCTTGTCAAGTCGCGAATGTGAATGTTGAAAGAATAAAAGAAAACTTGGCATCTCGTCCTAAGACTATTGTGAGCTGATGAATCGCACCAACGAGTGATGAGAGCTCAAATGTGCTGTCGTTTGCTGAGCAATTATAATGCTTAATTGCTTTAACAAGATGTCTCAACAATTTTGTCATTGAATTCTCTGAATGATCCTGTAGTAACGCAACCTCGGTAGTTAATAGTTTGGCATTTGTCAACCCTGTAGCAGTCTTTAGCTTACATTATTCTAAAATTGTCTTTAGAGTTGCAGCGCAAACCTTTTGCGTAAAGAAAAGACAGTAATAAATTATTATTATTATTATTATTATTATTATTATTATTATATTGTTTACATCTGTTTCATATCATTAATGTTTCTGTTTTGAAAAGTGTCATCGTAGTTGTTTTTTTATTTTTTATTTTAAGAAAAATTAGTAAACGTTGATGCTGCCCATGGAGAAAAATAAAACCATTTCCGTACTGTCAAATCAAGTCGGCATAACTTTGTGCGCATTTCAAAGACTCGAATCACTGTTGTAGATTCGAGAATTCACTAGTGTCATTTGCGAACGAGTGCATTGTAATTCTGACAGCCGGCTGACGGGCTAAGGTTCTGGCTGCCTAAGATCGGGTGCGATTCCAGGGTCGAACGCGATACAGGGCTGACGTAATTTGCACCTCAATTCCAGCCGTTTACAAATTTTCGTTTGTATCCGGAAAAGGTAATTTTTTCATCGGCAATTCTGAGAAGTATCCTCATTGCTTCGTCTCACTTAAGCACAACCTTCTGGAATAGATAGATCTTTAGAATAGATTATCTTACAGAAGATAATTAGTTAGGAACTGCTATAGACGAAAATAAGGCTTTTCAAGAAATATTTGTTCGTCTAATTTAGACGATGGTATTTACATTTTTGCATCTGAAATGAATTACCATGCATGAATATGTATTTGATTGGCAGTACACAAACTAATAGCAATAGATGCTCGTGTATCGTGAGGCACTGTAAAACACACTCGTAAAAACTTCTTTCATTATTTCCGATTGCACTACAACCCAGCGTTACAATGCTGTACCAACATCTGCATGCTGTCGGAGTGTCTGTACTTCTTGGGGGCTAATCGAGAAGAGATCAGTAATCAGCCCATAAGTAGGCCTTAAGAATGAGAGTAGGAATAGATTTGGAAAGAAAGCATTGCGCGCCTTACAACGCTGTTAAGTTCCTGGGTCGGCTTCCACCTAGAATTCACATTAAGCATATCGTAATCATATCACACTTACCATCACTGATAGCGCTACTCAGATTAATTATTTCATACTAGATTTTATAATTGCAGTAGACGGAGCGGTAGGTTTGGGTGTAGACTTTCTGTGGTCACAATCATTTCATTGTGAAGAACAAAATGGAGGACATAAAAACATTTCCCTTGTAATGTTTACTATATATTATAAAGCAGTTGTATTCAGTCGTAGACAAAATTAGTTATTTTACAGGAAAAGTTCGTTTTTAGAGGAAGCTTGCCTCCAACAGGGCGTGGAGCGTGGGTTGGGGGAGAAAAAGGTTCTGAAACGTTCAAGAAACACCGGCCCTAAAATCAGACCCACCACTTCCCTTCGCCACATACCCGTCTGTAACCATCGCTCTTTTTTTTAAATTTGCGAGTGTGCGGCGTTGTTTGCGAAATTCCGAAGGGAAAGGGCTGTTCCACTGCGCCGGGCGAAGCGTCAGGTGGGCCGCCGCCGCCGCCCGGCGTTGCGAGACGAACCGAGCCGCGTCGCGTGGGTTGGGGCTGGGGCGGGAATGTGGGAGCGCAGCTTGAGTTATGGGTGGGCGCTCATTCAGGCGGAACCCCTCTGCTCAGGACGACTCCGCGTATTGCTTGACTTCCAAAATGAGAGGGCATTAACACATCAGAGCAACAAAAAAAAACATGTTCCTAATCGCGTGTGTTTACATGTTATTCAGTATAAAGTTATTATCGTGCGGAGAAGGATAGTCGCACACGAAATTAGTTAACTTACATTTTAAGTTGTCGGAATGCCGGCCAACAAGGGAACCGTCATGTTGCGTCACTGGATGGGCTTTATGCAAAATGAATGCAGAAATTCTTATTGAGTTGCGTTGACTTTAATTAATCAACTCTAGTTAGACAGCTGAGGTGGTGTATTTATGTGCTGGGGCCTGCAAGCGTCGCGGTGGCGGTGGACGCCAAGCGAAGCGCGTTTGCGCGATGAAGCAGGCGCGTAATAAAGCAGCGGGCGCGTGGCCGTACGCGCTACGCGTCGCGTCGTGTCGTATCGTGTCGTGCCGCCTCGCGGTGGCGGGGCGGGGCTATTTACGTCGCCAGCGCCGCGGCGGGGTTCGCGGGGCGGGGGGCGGCGAGGCCTGCGGATGGGGCGGGCGCTGCGCGAGAGGCGTCAGGACTAAGGCGGCAGCCGCGCAGCCCATGTCTTTCCGTGGGAGCTGTACCTTTCGCCGCGGCGCAGCGCAGCGTCGCCGCTGTACGGCGGCCGGCGTAGCGCGTGGCGCGCCGGCCGCCAGCAGCAGCAGCGCCGCCTCGCAGCCTGGGCTTCTACCGGCAGCGTGTCGCCGCTTCCTCCTACGCGGAGCCGGCTTCCTCGTACCGGAGCGCGGCTCCTCGTACAGCGCCGGCGGCAGCCCCTACGGGAGCCCGAGCGGCTACGGCTGGCTCCGGCTCCAGCTCGCTGTACGGGAGCTCAGCGCTGGGGGCGTACGGCGGCGGCGCCGGCCTCAGCCCCTACGGGGTGGGCGGCGTGTACGGGGGCGGCGCCGCCTCCAAGTCGCCGCTCTCGCTTTCCACGTACGGCGGCACGAGCTCCGGCTACGGCGGCATGACTCTGTCCTCGCTCTCCCCGTACTCCAGCAGCTCCTCTTCAGGCCTCACTGGTAGTTCCTACAGCAGTAGTCCTAGGAGTAATAGTAGCTACAGCAGTAGTCCCAGGAGCAGCCCCAGGAGTAGTGCTGTTTTGCCCGTAAGAAGTAGTAGCTTCAATACAAGGACCGCCAGAAGCTCTCATGCGCATGCGCACTCGCACTCGCACTCGCCGGCGTCGTCGGCGCTCAGCTCCAGATCGAACTCGTGCGTTTCCTTGGCTTCCAGCACAAGAAGCGGATCGGAAGGATACGCTGTAAGAATCGCTCCATTTGACACGTCAGTGGCGTTGGTGTCCTTTTGGGTCGGAAAGTGCGCGTATGTCGTTACACGCAGAGTTCTGAATGAGTATGGAATAAACAGATTCTTAATGTGTCATAGAACTAACAAAACTACTAAAATAATGCTGTAGAGCATTTCGAAAATAAATTTAAAAAATGATAATTTTGTCAGTATGGATCAAGAGTTATTCAGGATAGATGTTAGACACAATGAGTTCACTGTGGTATCTTCATGTAATTTACTTAAATAGTTTGTTTCACAAATCAGTTCATATTGCAGAAGAAGTTCAACATTTGGTTAATTAATTGTACTATTGTTTCTTTATGAATATATAATTGAAAATTGTACTCTTCAAAGTTCTCAAATTTTGAGTCCAGAAAACCACATATTTAAATACATTCTAATAAGTGAAAAGATTCCCAGGAGCATGCTTCTTATTTTGTTTCTCCTACTAAATTTTATTATAAGAACTTTTGAAACTGAAAATAGACTTCTATTCTTCCTAATTAATGATAAAAAACAACTAAATATTGTTGAATAAAGATTGTCAATGTCCAGCAGCTTTAATATTATTTTCCAATAGATGAAGATTGAAAACTGACATATTTTAGTATTTTTGGGGTGTCTGCAATGAATTTCCTTGTTTTAGTTGTTTTCATGAGAAAAAATTGCTTTAATTATCTCCATATTTGTGTTTATATTCTGCATTTATTACAGTCTACCAGTTATTCAGTTTGATTTTTATTTTTAACCAAATGTATGTGAAGAGTTTGAAGTTAGAAGCAGAATGTTTGACAGTAAATTTGTTTTAATTTTGGTCTTGTTTATTCTGCAGAGTGGAGGAGATTGGTCAGGGAACTCCCGTGTGAGCAACTCCCCAGGAGCTGAAAGCCGTCCAGTCACACCTGCTGCTTCAGTCACCTCTTCCCGTTCCACTAAAGAAGCAAACAGTGAAAATGGAGAAATTGATTACAAAAAGGTTTGGTTTCTTACATGATTAAACTTTAAAAAAATGACAATTCACAGATTTCAAAGTTTAATCTGAACTTCTTTTCAGTTGTATGAAGCATCAGTATTGGAGAATGAAAGGTTGCGGGAAAAATTAAAGAAGACTGAAGATGATTTATCCGATGCTCGATCCCAGTTAGAGAAGGTTCCTGGCGGTGTAAGTAGTTACAGTAGGACAAATGTCTTAGATGTAGTATTAAAAATTTATTTTGTGAAGGTATCATTAATACTACTTCAGTTATAAACATACATTTAATTTTGCTCTTAAATAAATTAACTTGTTGAAGAGGAAAATTGTTACTGTAGTAAATTATTGTCCATTTGGAGTAGACTGCCATGTCGTTTATAATATACTGTTGCCTGAAATTTCAATATGTTGTTATTGCATGGTTTTCTTTTATTTGCAGTCAATGAAGAACTCTCTTTCGGAGATGGAAAAGCGAGAAAGACGAGCAATGGAACGAAAGTTGTCAGAAATGGAAGAGGAATTAAAGGTTAGTTTTTCGCTATTTCATTTTTTCTTTATTTTCTCTTTTCACATTGACAAATTGTTATTGCTCCAAATCCAGGCTTAAGTTAGAAAATAATTTTTTCAAACGTCTGTGCTGCTTCTTGTGATTTTCTAGGATGTGAAATATTGGATTGGGAAGAACAGCTAGTTTCACCATGATATCACTGTTCTACATATGTCTGTTTGCTCAGTATTGCTAAAATGTTACGTGTAAAGAAGTACAAATGGTGTGATCTATTAAATTGGGCATTGTCCTTCCATTAAATTACTTGTTTCTGTTACATGAAAAATGTGTGAAACATGTTCACAAAGCAATCAAGTTAAATATAACATATCGTTTTGCCCAATAGGGATCTTTGAAGCCTAGTAAAGTAATACCATGTTCATTTGATAGTTTTTGTGTACGTACAGGGAAAGTAATGACATTCACTGTAACACATGTTTGTAAGTAAATGACACTCCTTGATGTCCTAGATTTTCATGGTTTGGGTTATGACTTCTCTTGGGAGTTTAAAAAATTCTGCAGTACTCTAGTATTTGCAAAATTTTCTGAAATTTAATATTGTTTAATTATCTAATTATGCACTTGCTAATTACAGAGCACTTACTACATTTTAATGTTGTAAGATAGTGTGTTCAGATAGTGTCTTTCCAAATTAATGCAAAGCAATAACTGGGCAGGGAGAGGATTCCTCTTGTTTTCCCTTTAAAAACTGTTTGTTACAAATTTTCCCGTTTATAGATGTATTGATGGCACAAATTAAATTACTTCAAATACCAAAATCTTCATCATCATTTACGCACTCACTCACCCTATCATTTACGCACTCACTCACCCTATCATTTAAACTCTCACTCACACTGTCATTTAAACACTCACTCACACTGTCATTTAAAACCACTCACTCACACGTATTAAACACTCCACTTACACTGTCATTTAACACACTCACTCACCCCAACTGTCATTGAAGACACTTCACTCACACTGTCATTTAAAACTCACTCACACTGCTACACCTAACTGTCATTTAAACACTCAACTCAACACTGCATTTAACATACTCCACTCATTTAACACTCACTCACACTTGTCATTAAAGCACCTCACTCACACTGTCATTAAACACCACTCACACTGTCATTTAAACACTCACTCACACTGTCATTTAAACACTCACTCACACTGTCATTTAAACACTCACTCACCACTGTCATGTTAAACACTCACTCACCACTTCATTAAACCTCCCTTCCACTTTCATTTAAATCACTACACTCACAAAACTTCATTTACACACTGTCATCTACACACATAACACACTCCTCACACGTCATTTAAAACACTCAACTCACACTTAACTCTCCACTGTTGTTAAACACTCACTTCACACTGCTCATTTAAACAACTCACTCACATTCCTTTAAAACACTCAACTCACACTGTCATTTAAACACCACTCACACTTGTCATTTAAACACTCACTTCACAACTGACATTTAAAACACTCCTCACACTTCATTAAACACCTCACTCACACTGTCATTTAAACACTCAACTCAACACTGTCATTTAAACACTCACTCACACTGTCATTTAAACACTCCACTCCACAACTTCATTTAAAACACTCACTCACACTTATTTAAACACTCACTCCACACTGTCATTTAAAAACTCAAAACTATTCCCACCACACTGTCATTTAAACACTCACTCACACTGTCAATTAAACACTCACTCACACTCATTAAACACTTCACACACTGTCATTTAACACTCACTCACACTGCATTAACACTATCACACTGTCTAAACACTCACTCAATTCATTTTAAACCATCCACTCACACTGTCATTTAAACACTCACTCACACTGTCATTTAAACATTGACTTCAGCAGTAACTTAGTTACAATTTTCTAGTTCGCGAATTTCATATAATTCTTCATTACGCAAATCCTTTGTAGGTGATAATTTAGCGAAATATTATTTTTGCACTCACTTGACAAGTGTTTGATTTCAAATATTGAATTTATATTGCTTTTTGATAACATTTTCTTTGTTGAATATTTCAAATTTATTGACTTGCCAGCTAGGATATGTTTCACATATGGAGACATAATTGTAGAGAATGAAGTTCAGCTTGTTAAGACATGCAATTTGAGAGACAATTCAACCCAGCTGATTAGTTGCAAATAAAACCTGTCCTAAGAAACTAATTTGCTATAATTCTGGTATGATCTTAAATTGCACAAATAAAAAAATTGCATTTTTTAAATTTTATTTTATTTTTTCCTTCCAAAATACTTAATTATTTTGAAAATCTCAAATATAGTATCCACATGCTCCTTATGCCCTGGTGCCCAGGTGCTTATAAAGATAGAGGTCAAGTTTCTACTGATTTGCGCTTCCTTTAGAATTCAGAGTACTAGTATATTAGGTAATCTGTGCATATTTGGGCAGTCAAGAGGTATACTTGTTAGTTGAAAAGGAATGAATTGTGTTGATAAGCGGAATTAATAAAAATGTTTTTCTGTACTAGTATTTATTCTTAATTCTATACTACAAGTCACCCACTAGTCATTAATAATGTTATATCATCTTATTTGCTTAAGCTGTTGGGAATGCATATAAATAAATTTTGTTTTTTCGCAATACAATTTATTGAAAACCAATTGTTTGTGTGGATTAAATTATAAATTGCTTATTTGTCTGCTTCTATTGTAAAGATTGGCTTTTATTGACAACAATGCTTTTTTAGGTGCAAGTGTTTGCTTTGCTCAGAGTAGGTGCACAGACTTCACTCTGCAGCTGGTAGTTGGTGTGTGCTCTCATTACTAATTACATTCCATTTATAAATTGCACGAATAGTAGCAATTTCAGTTGGTCTCTTTAATTGTAGAATTGGCTTTTTTCTGTTTCTCTTTTTTACTTGGTCCATGTTGTTAATTTTTCAGTTTCACACACTTACATTACATAGATTATATACTTATCTGAAATTCTTCATGTGTTGAATTCTTAAAGTAACTTACATTGCTCCTACAAAATTTCATTATTTTATTGTTTACATAAATTCATGTCCGATTTAATTTTCTTTCCATAATTCCTTGAAAACAAGCAACATTACAATTTGTGGGCCAAGGACAGTAGTCCTTTCGTGTAGACGAGTTTACTAGACGGTTCTTGTAATACTGTTTTGAATTTAGAAGACCTTTCTTTCAGGTATTCTACTGATCAGGTCAGTACTTTCAACATGTTTCTTACTGTTTCCAGCAATTACAAAAACTCAAAGCAGAAAATGAAAAGTTGAAAGCGGAAAACCGGGCTTTGACTCGGGTGGTGTCAAAACTCACCAATTCCGCCAATGCCACAAAATAGGTAAACAGACAGGAAGTTGTTCTGTCAGATCGTTTGTGGTGCCTTCCTAGCCAAGGCATGCGCTTTGTTGGCACGTGAATATTTCGTTCATCGTTGTTTGTTCTGCTCTGTATAATTAACATTGTAATTTGCTCCTACAAGTTTCTTAATGCCGTTCGTAAGACCAAGGGAACTTACATATCATGTATATTTGTAAGCTTGCATGGTATTGAAACTCAGTTCCTGAAAAGAGAATTTATACCATCCACATGTTGCCTGCAAATGTATATGTTTTATGTGTGCTTGAGTTTCGTCATGTTTCCTTCCACCTTGGCCCACAGTTTGGCATATGCATTGGTTGCCAAATTAATTACAGCATGCTTTTTCATTTATATTCTGTTTTCAGGACAATTGTAGAGGTGTCAGATCATCATCTTGAAATGCATGCTCAAAATTATAAAGGATAAAAGTTTTGAAATCAGGAAGCCTTATTAGCAATTGTTCATGATTTTTAAATGGTGTGGCAATAGCAATAGCAATAGCAATTTGTAATTGTAGCTTATTCGGGAATCTATTTTTATAGAGGAATATGAAGGCTAGATATAATCAATGATGAATTTCCCATTATTGTATTCAGTGTGTGCAAGTTTTCCATGTTGTTTCCTTGCATTTTATGTCTACCAAAATAGTTATTTATGTAACTGATACAGAAAGTGAGTCTTCGGCGAACGAATGCAGTATTGTCAGATGAGGCACTTCTCGGACCCTTGTATGGCATGTTGAAATTTGTACATCAGAGGCATTTTCATATCAGTTGCGTATGTGATATTTTAGCATGAATTCATGGAAACACACAAATATATAATCTAAAGATCATTCTCAATATGGATGGCGGCAGCCATGTTGATTCAAGCCGCACAAATGTTTTTTTCACTTTGCAGTAATCAATTGTTTAATATGGTGATGACTTCTTTTCAGTACATATATGGCAAAGTATACTTTGCAGTACATGTACTGCAAAATAACAATAAACAGTGAAGGTTGTACTAGTTTCCATGCACGAGTGCTGAAAAAGTTATTTATTGTAACCAATATTCCATAGTATTAAGCATATGTAAATAGTAGTATAATATTAGATGCTTCTGTAAAAAATACCCTTTCAATCACGGCAAGAAAACCTTTGTAATAATTGGAATGTTATGTGAGATTGCATGTCAAAGTCTAGTATTATTGGAAAATGTTGCATTCCACATAAACATTTGTTAGTTTGTCTAAAAATATTTAAAAAGGACTGACTTTTCATTGAACATTTATCACTGTTCACTTACTGACCCGTTTAAAAATTTTTCCTATATTCTTGAATCTTCATGTTAGATTTGGTTTGCTTGGCTTTTCTTTCTTCATCCCTCTTTTCCCTAATATTTTATTTTTATTTTTTATTTGCTTTCTTGTGTTGCTTATGTTTCAGAATGTCACTTAATTATTTTAAGAATTGAGGTTAAGCTTATTTGAAATTTTAAAAAATTGAAAACTGCTAATCTTAAAATTTCTTTTATATCAATATTTTTGTCTTTGTGCATATGATTTATTTAGTTTTTTTAAGAAATGTATCCTATTAAAGATCTGTGCACAAAAAACGTAAGTACACTACATGAATACATTTTTAAAAAAATTTATTTGCACAGCTTTTGGAGCAGCTGAAGAGTGAGAACCAAAGGCTAAAGGATGAAAATGGAGCTTTGATTCGGGTCATCAGCAAGTTGTCCAAATGATAGTTAGTAAGCGACAAGTTTGGATATGAAATTGTTTCCACTATTTTAGCTTCCTTTTAATTATATTTTTAGTTTTGTGCTGTTATATTATATCATGCATGACACCTTCAAAGTTTTGCAAATTGTCAGGGGCATACAGTGTTGGTTTCATTTTGCACTAATTTTTGTCACATGAAATTTGACTTCCATAATGTCTCATAGTGTCTGTATGAAATATTCATCTTGAATTGCCTTTTATAATGACATTTAAGGACAGTTCCTTTATTCATTTCAAAGAAGTGTTTCCTAATTTATGGGCAGTTATGAAGTGTGTATAAAGTGATATATGTGTATATGTTGTAAGAGTATGAATTTTTGATTAATTGCAAAGTTACTTTAGATTTTTTTTTTACAATACTATAATTCAAAAATGTATGTTTCTTGCATCAACTGAAAACTGTACTTTTGTTTTTCAAAATTATTATTTAGAGTTAACTGATATGTATTTCAAATCTGTCAGTGGCAGAAGAAAAATGAGGGAAGCAATCAAAGGAATGAACATAAAACACTGTATTGAGTTTAAATTGTGAGGCCAAATATTTGGGCAGATCTCACTAATGTAATTTAGTTTCAAATTATACTGTTATTTTAAAAGTTGATTTTATCAATTCAGCGAATCCATTATGGGTTCAAATTTGAATTTGATGTAATTTTATCAGTATGACCGTGTGTGTGCCTGCTATTTTGTTGTTATTTATTATTTTGTAGATAATTTTTACATTATTCAGTCACTTAATCATAATTACTAATAATATTAACATAAGGACTATTGAATTTTACATACTTTTGTATTTTACACAATTACATAAAATTCAATGCAATACATTTGTCAAATAACTTGTGTTGTATGAATGAAGTGCTTAACAGTACTTTTGAATGCGTAATATTTCAATATAACACTAACTTTTTGGATGACCTTTTTTCATTGTTAAATGTTCTGTAAGCATTAAATATGCATTGAACATCAAATGGTTAGTTTTGAAGAAGAAGGGAATAAAAAGAAAAAAAACTATATATGTTAACTTAAAAATCAGTATTTCTTCTCATTTTTAGGATTACTCCTAATGGACATGTCTTGTTTTTATTACTTAGTAATTTTCATTTTGATTTGAACATTGTTTTCAGGTCTGACCAGATATGATTTAGTGTCAGTGAAGTAGTTACGGCAAATAAGGACAGATTTATATGGGATGAAAAGCAAGCTATTCAGTATTGTGTACAAAAGTCATTGCATTACACATCCTTTTTTTGACATTAATTACGCTTTATTTCGTAATTGTGTTGTTCTTGAATACTATTTTCTCAATGATGTGAGCTTTAAAAGTTGATTTATAATTGTTATATTATTCTACGACTACACTAACTTTCGCCACTCACATTTCTGAGAAGGAAATTTTGAGCAATTATTGAAGCAGTAATATCAAGTAGATGTAGTGTACTGTTTGAGACTTATCTCTATCAGTATAAGATATCTCTATCAGTATAGATTCATATGTTCTGTGCAGTTCTACCAAAAGTGTAATTGGTCAATATCATGTAAGAAAACCATACTGTTTAATGCCCCTGTCTGATGGATGCAAACAAACATGGGCTCTTGTTGTATGCTTGTATGTGTGAATGATACATTCAGGATATATTCCTTTTAATGCTGTGGATTGATTTTGTTTTCATTTCATGACGTTATTGCAATTTGATCATAAATTAAGTTTTTGATAAAGAAAATGTTTACTATTGGCCAATGAAACTTGCCACAATTTTGAATAATTATTTTCTTGCATTTTTTATATGCAGTAGAATGTTACATACACACTACAAAGGTTTTGCAATATACTTTTAAGTAGCTTATTGATGAACAAGGCATATCGATAAATCTTCTTTGTTTCTAGTCCTAGTGTCATAGACTTGTACTTTAAAATTAAAATTGTTTTGTTATTCAAATGTATAATTTGTATAGACAGAAATAGGAATTGAAGAGAACTATTAGCTATGTTGTATGTACTAACAACTAATCTTTGAGTAGTTACAAATTCATGATAAATATTAAACAAAATCTGTCTTAATATAATTTGATATCTTAAGATTGCCAGATCTTTATTTAGTTGTGAAACCTTCATTATTTAGTTATTTATAAATTGGAATCTGTTTTTATTGCATTGTTATGAACTTGTTGAAATATTCTAAGGAGGAGATCCTCGTATATAATATGTGAGGGATATATGTATGTACTCCACTAGGAAAACAAAAAAAAGTATTGTGATGATTGTTTACAAGTTCTATTTGTGTAGTGTGTGGCTGTTACTGCAATGTATTGTAAATATATTTATAGGAAGGAATGTGTTGTGAAGGATGGTGGAGGACCCCGCCCCAGATACTGGTTTGTAAAAAATAACATAGATGAAGTGTATATAGTATAATTTACTGTCCTTATAAAGTTAGATTTTTGTAGTAGGAAATTGTTATAAGCTGCAGAAAGAAAACTTTCCCTGTCTTTATAAGTGCCTTTTGCTTTTCTGTGTGTTTAAAATGGAAAAAAAAAAAATGTAAAAAATTTTATAGTATAAAACAATCAGATTTTAAAATAAAACATTTCCTACATATTAATTCTTCAGAGAATTACTTTTTACTTTTCTTTTCTCCCCCCCCCCCCCCCTCCTCCTCATTGAAAAACATTTTTGAAGAACTACTTTTTATCCCCCCTCTTGCTTCCTTTTAAGTTTATTGGGTAATATGTAAATAAATTCTATGCAAGAAACTTTGTTTTCTTATTTTAATTAAGACTTTAGTCGATTATAAAATATAATATTACACAAATGATTTCAAATATGATGAGCAGCAGAAGAGATGATAACTGAAAAAAATCACATATATGCAAAATATTACTAATTATAGGAACACTTATAAACAATTACAAGAGTATTCAAACTCAGAACATAATGCAACAAACTTCCATTATCTGTTATGTCAGCTTCCAAAGTTTCAACATTAAATCTATTAAAATAATTTGACCTTCTGTTCAATATATTACTCAGGTATAGGTAGAACTAAAGTTGTGAGTAACAAAAGTATAATTTGATCTTTAAGTCCTGTTACAAACTTTGAATTTATATATTGATACCAAGAGCCATCAATTTTATAATTAACAAGTTTATGTAAAATTTTTAGATCATTAGAAATGCATGAAGAATATAAGGAAGGAATATTCAATAATGATGGGATTGAACTGTATGATTTATGGAAGGATCAGGTAGGCCATATGCACAGTACAATATTTCTCAAAAATTTGTGTTGATCAGTTTCTATGCAGTTTATATGAACATCAAGTAGAGTGATAAAGCACGAGATGCAAATATTAACAAGGGTTTAACTGGAGCTAGATAAAGACTTTTCAATTTCCATGAAGGTTTTAAGTCACAAGAAGTTCTTTTAATAAAGCCTAGACATGGATCGGGTTGTGGAAGAGCCTCTCTAATTTTCAAATTAATGTGACCACTGAAGCTCAACTGATTGTTTAACCTCACTCTGACCCTTATGTCAATACCAGCAGTAGTAAAGGTGTGAACAATATTACTTGTAAATCTTGACAATGTTATCTTTTAACATTTCTTTGCAGTCTGCATTGTATTGTTAGAGTGCATTAATTGTATTTGGTAAAATCAAAACATCAAAGAAAGACCTCAGTACATATACAATTACGCAATTTGGAATCAAGTGCATACAATTTGAACTCTACATCGTATTATGATTGCACACAAGTTGTTTATAAATAAAACAGAAGAAACAAAAAGATCCCTAGGACATACCAGATAAAACTACCATTTCTTTAGAAATATCATTTTTATATTCTACGTATTGAACTCTATTATTTAAATAACTACGAAGAATCTATTATACCAAAAGCAAGTACTTTTTGCAGTAGTACGTCATGATTCTCATAATCAAAAGCTTTTATATGGTGTCCACTTGTTATTTTCCATTCGATTCAATGTTTTCCTCTTCCCCATCGATTCCAATTCTCCTAATACCAAAACTAAAATTTCCAAGTAGGGTTAGAAGATCTTTTGAATTAAAACAAACAAAAAATATTGCATATGTTATAATAGTTCTTAAACTGCATATGTTATAATAGTTCTTTCCCATATGTTATAAGTGTTATTTTTTTGTTTAAATTTGTCTAGTTCATAAGTAATATTTTTTAATTATGTGCTCGCATTATAGTCATCAACAGCATTATTTATTATGCTGACAAGTAATGGACACTTGAAGTCTGTAAACGAAGGTGACAGCTAGGGATATAACCAATGGTATCGAATTATTTTCATCTTTCTCAGGTAGCAGACTTTTCATGATAATGTACTGTTTTAATGTCAACTTGACTTAATCAAAGGAATGAAAAGTCACTCTTTAACAGCCAGTATCCATTAAGAATTTAACAGTCCAATGGCAGTTAATTGTTAAGAACAGTTGAAACAAATGACTTGTAACTAAAGATGGAGTTTGAGTACATTTATTCCAAGAAATGGTATTTCTTGTTTACACGCTTTTTCTTAGTAGAAGAAGGTATTATAAAATGTATTGAATGACACAGCCAAAAACAGAAATGACAGATTCGAAGAAATATAAAACTGTAGTCACATTATTTTACCAACTTCAACCATGTCTGTTATTTGCTGTTTAGTTGCCAAATTATGTTAATTACTGCAACGAACACAGGACATTAAAGAGTGACTTACCTGTCCTCTGGTTGCAATATGTTGATAATTAATACAAAGATAATTATATTTATATTTGAGTAGGTTTTGAAAATGTAAGGCTGCCAATACTTCGTCAAGACTTGAGTCATAATCTTGTATAAGCTAGCACTGAAGCATTTAGGAAGACCCATAAATCAATCTTCTATCGCAACCAGTTAGATTGATTAATTAATAAGAAATCTTTTGAAGTATTTATACTAAGAAATGCAATAATATTAAAAAATATCCATAATGTAAACATTTTATAATTTGAGAGATTTATCAAAAACTTACATTTGAATGAGTTTTGAAAAATCAAAGAAGGTATCAAAATGCCATAGATTTTGTGCTATTCTGTTCTTTTAGCTCTATCTGTATGAAAAGTTTAAAGAAAATTTTTGGGGTCCTTTCTGAGAAAATCTTGTTTTTAAAATTGCCATTACTTAACACCAAATTACGCAAAAACTCACAATTTGAAAATTGAACATAATTTGATTAAATGATGTAATTTCATTTAGAAGGAAATACTACTACTTCAATATTGTAGTTGTAGGAACACACCTAAAATGAGTTGAACGAAAATGGACCTACGCCATTTTTATAAGCATAATTTGCATTAGCTGATATTTTTTTTAAATATTAGAGCCATTTCTGTAACTATTGAAAATGCTGAAAAATGTTGATACTTTATGATTCCCCCACCACACACATACGCAAAAAGAGATATCCTCAAAATTTCACATTTTCAGAAAGCTCAAACACTATTTCTCAGAAATTACTCAAAATTTTTTGTACGGATAGTTTGAAATCCATTGTATAAAATGACATAAAAGCCATGTTGCTGTATTTTTCATGTTTTCCAAAAACTACGCATATGTTACTTCTTCTTCTTTTTTTTTTTTTTTTTTTGCACTTTTAAAATGCACATTTAGAACAATTTGTATAAATTACTACATTTATGAGTGGAAGTGCTTCACATGACTTCCAATGATGTTTTTCAAAACATAAATGTTCTTTGAAACAGAACTTTATATTTTGCTTAAGAGTAATGCTTAAACAACATATCTTAAAACGGCTCCGGATTTTCCCACTAAAAATTGCCTTTCAGGTGGAGCTTTTACTTTAATATAATATTCTTAGAGTAATATTTCAGTTTCACCATTGGTAAACTGAAAAACTGAGAAAATATAAAAACTAGTGGTGTTACAGAAAATTTTGAAGCCGTTTGTGAGAAAATAGCATTGGATTGTTTCTGAAAATGCGGGATTTTGAGCACATTTTCATAGAAAAGTGTTGAGTTTTCAATAAGCTTTATATGGCATTATTTAAAGCACATGTACTCATAAAAACAATAATGTGTACAAATTGCCGCAATTTTTTTTTTTTTTTTTTAAACCACATATTGCACGAAATATTACACAAAAAATACCTAAATTCTACATGGCTTTAATGAAAGAACTAATTATGAACAACAAATTTCATTTAAAGGAAAAATCTCTATATTCAATTTTATAGTTGTATAGTTGTAGAAAGATTCCGAAAAAATTCAAACTTTTCAAATTTCCAAATGTTCCAATTCTTTTTTTTTTTTACTCTATTCTTACAAGAAATTTCAAGAAAAGTTTGGAGCCGAAATTTTTGAAAATGTCCAAGAAGCTTTATGTAAAGTATCCTAAAATTTTAAAGAATGTTTTTCATAATCTCAAAGCTTAATCTAGGGTCAGGGGTTTCTTCAATTGGGAAAAACTACGTATGGTTTAGGCGCCGTTCACAGACGGACTGACGTTTTGCTGTCAATTGACTTTTCGGTATCAAGGACCCACAAAACAGGCATTCAGGCTACACCACCGGTTAGAGTATTTTTTTCTTAATTTAGCAACTAGATTTTCCAACTTCTTCGTTATCAACTGCCGAACATCGTCCGTTTTTTCAGGCATTACATAGCTTTCTCTACGTATAGAGAACGTATATACTCTGTTTACACGTTCGTATACGAGAAGTAACTAGTAGTGCTACAGAATGGCACAGACTTTCCCGTATTAGTTTTCTATTTTCCTTGTATCGCCGCCCAAAGTACAATTTTTTGAAATTTTCTTAATTTTTCGACTTCCTAATAGTAGAATGGAAATATAATTTTTAGAATATTAAAAAACAATAAAACCTCGACATAAATGACAATTTTTTGGAAAACCTTTAAGAAAATAGCATTTAATTGCTACTATGAATTCGAAATTTGAACCTCTTTTCACAAAAATCTTCTGAGTTTGCGAAAAACGTCTTTTGAAGTCATTTTAAGTACTTTTACTTACAAATACAATAGTGTTTACAAATTGCTAGAAATATGTTTATGAACGGCGTGAGAGATCTTTCAAATAATTTACATTTGTGTAATTTTTGAAAAAACAAAAAAAAATGCAGCGAAATGGACTTTACGCCATTTTAAAGAGTGGAATTAACACTACCCGTTCGAAATGTTTGAAGAAAAATGTGGAGTCGCTTTTGAAAAAATGGCATTTGAACGTTTCTGAAAATGCGGAATTGTGAGCTATTTTTCACAGAAAACAGTTGAGTTTTCGAGAAACTTATACGATATTATTTAAAGCACATTTACTTATAAATACAATAATGTGAACAAATTGCCGCTAATACAAATGTTAATGACATGAGGACATGAGAGACAAGTCATTTTTTGTGAGTTTGTAAAAACAAAAGAATAGAACAATATGGCGTTTATGTCATCTTATAGAGTACATTTATCACTTTTATCATTTATCTCCTGCACCAGAAAGCAAGAAGAAGATTCAAAGATTTGGATTGAGGTTGATGAGGACTAAGCAGCGGTTTTATAGACATGAATTACTGTAGAAATAGACAGGTAAAATAGGCATTTAAAAATGTAACATAGGCATTTAGAAGAATACAATAGGTTTAAAAAAGGCACTATAAATTTTTCTTATCTTTATTTATGATTTTGTGTAGAAAGCTTCTGAAGTAAACATAACAGATTTACCTTCATGGAATATTTGCTTTCATCATTGTTGGGAAAATTGGACAAAAAAGGATGAATCGCAATAGCTAACTTTTTGCTTTTCATTAAATGTAAGCTGATTCTCTAATGCTGCAAAATATGATAGTTTTTCTCACACTTAATTTAGAGTCAAAATATTCAACAAGTTCAACAAATTTTAGGCTGTCGCAATTCTTATAAGTGTCCCTTGTTCTAATCCATGGGAAAAAATGGAAGCAAATGTTTGTAGTGGTTTTGGAGAATTTGTTTTATAATTTGCATGAAATTTAAGCAGAAATTCCAGAAAAAACACTCATTTAAACAAAAAATTATACAGAGCCATTTATAAAGATCTGATATTTTAGAACATATTTCATTGAACACAAAAATCTTGGTATTCAATGTTGTTCATTTTCAATGTTAACTTTTTGCAAGTTTTGAAAGTACAGGGTTCACGAGAAATGGAACTCGCACTAACTTTTATACCATCCTTTGATACATAAAAGAAGAAAATTTTAAGAAAAAATTTGGAACTTGTTTTTGTGTAAGAAATTCGTTAAAAATTTGTAGTTAAAAATAACTTTACTACCACATGCAATTTTGCTTGTGTTTCATATGAAAGATCCACACTATGGTGGTGGCAGTAAAACAGAACATCAATAGTTGTTCGATTTCTTTGTAATCTGCAAGATAAAAACAAATATACAATTTTTTAAATTTCTGATTAAGGTTAATTGCATTTTGACCAATAAGCATGAGAATAACCAACATAGACATTTATTAGGCATTATATTATTTAATAAGATTTATACGCACTATAAAACTGTCTTATAACCTCAGGAGATAACTGCATTAGAAGATAATGGAGGTGAAAGAGTACGCCAGTCAGATTTGATGAATTACTTGAGAGTTATAAATTCAGGAGCCCTCCTATCCCTCCTCCAACCTTTCTCTCAGAAACACAAGAAAATTATAGACTCAGAATATCATGTTTTGCCCAGAGTTGAGATTTTGTGACCTTATCATGTTCACATGTTTGTACTCTCAAGTTTAGTACAAGCTTAAATGACTCAGGGTATCAACTTATGTCACTGCAGTGCCTCTGACTGGAAGGCCATAGGGTTTACTAATTAATCAATCAAGTTTTGTCAGTTTGAATACAACAGTTGGACTCAAGGGGGATTATGCATAATAAAAATTATCAATTTGGAAGAAAAACATATGTAAATTGTAAGTAAAACCATACGTTAGTTGTGGCTAATCTATATTAATAAAATTGAAAGTTAAAATGTTTGATGGTTAACTGCACCTAGACAGCTCAATGATTAAATATCTGAAGCATAATGGTAGATCATGGCCCACTGATCTTATCGCGTCACTTTCGTGGTTGATTGTAAGTATGTGGTGATAATCAGGAGAGTGTTCTCAGGACTGATGCGTTTTCACATGCACTCCCTAGTGAATATGTTCATACTTGTTTTAGGGTTACCAATCAAGTGTGCAATTTTTTAATATAATTAACAACTAAGAATGTGTCCATAAGGAATAGGTTAGAAACTATTGAAACCAAATGCAAGAAATATTAATAGTTAAGGGCATTTTACTCAGGAATGTCTGTATCCAACACAAACACATGTGGTTAGATTTTCATTAAATTTGCTGATCTCTGCAAAGCATGCAGGATGTGCTAGTTGCATATAAAATTTGTACTTGGAAAAAGTGGTTTTGTGTAAGTGTGTTAATTGATCAATCCCAGACAAGATTGTTCACCGTGCTGAAACAGGAAGCATAGTGTGGAAGAATATTTTATTTTTTCAAAAATAAATTAAAAATTTTGAAGTTAAATTACAAGTTTTGTAATTAGTTCAAGGCTCATAGAAAGGCTATGTCTTCAAGAAAAATATATAACGAATACATTTTTTGCCATCAAACACCATTTTTATATCAATCGCTCAATCAAAAATTCATCATGCAAGTTTTTTTAAATTTTGTTTTCCTAAGTTTCAAAAAGTTGTAATATAAGGTCAGTACTAGATTTCCCCTAGAAGTGTGACTACTGATGATTTCCACCAACTGCTTTATATTTGTAAGAGCATCTCCAACATTGCAAGAAACTGGTGCCTGACATTTCTGAAACACAATTCTGACATTGCTTTTGGGGATTCTGTAGTCTATTGTTATAAAAAATCAAATGGAAAATTTGCCAGTGGGTTCCTGACTATGAGAGGCTCTGGGAATGCACAATGCTGCCTTGCTAGGTGGAGACAGAATAATGGACTTCAAACTTAATCATATACATTTTATGGATTATAAGTTTGATTCAAATCACAGACACAATTAAAAGAAATACAAACAGATATGTATTGTTTCATAACTAACAATCAATCAATTCAAGTTTTCTTTGCTTATCAATTATTTTCTTCATGCCAATTGAAGATGTCACCAATACATAACAATCAATGCTCATATTAACAAAGACATTTTTGAATAAAATATCTCTACAACAATTCTGAAAGTATAGAAGTCATTCACAGGAAATAAAGTTTTTTTCAAAAATATTTAATTGGCTCCAGACCTTCTTGAATATGCCTTTGAAGAAGAAACGATAATGAAATTGTAAACCTTCCTTTGATCATTACACTCACGGATGGTGTCATCTTTAAGTCAATTAGGCACCCATCTTGGGTGCATACACTTGGACGATGCAGTTCCTAACCATGCAAGACAATAACAAAGAATTAACATAAAACAAAGTGTCTTCTCAAGTCTTTAATAGTATTCAAAATGACCGACTAAAGGGGTCAGGACAGGATATGTCTTCAAAAAATTGTGATCAAGGTAACTTTTTTCCTATCTTTATGATTATTATTGTTATGAAATAAAATCAGTGAGCACAAACATCTCACTTCTTCACTTCATTGTGCAAATGCAAGTGCCTGTTCCATTTCCATATAATTAGAGCTTTATTTTTGTTTTCCTCTCTCAGCTCTTTTGGTGGTAGTTCAATGTACAACAAAGGAACCTTTTTTTCTCTATTCTTTTGAATAGTCCTTTGTTATTTTCTACTTTGTGTTATGTATATTCCTAATTTTTTAATGATATACCCATTCTTTATTTGATCTTTTCTTGAACCACATAACTTTCTCAAGGAACCTCATTTCTGCAGTTTGAATTTCACTTTTACCCGTCTCTTTCTCCCCTTCTTTCCTCCTATGATTTGCTGCCATTTAACAATTATTGTAACATTGTCTCGTAAAATTTTATTTTTGTATCTTATTTTGAAGTTTTTTTGTTAATTGCCCTCAAACTGATTGAAATGTGTTACTTTTATTTTCTTCTTCACACATTACAACCAAATCATTTCACCTAGAAATAACAACACTTAGGCCTATTTCCTTACATTACTTTATACAGATGTACTCTTTAATCCAGACCTATTGATGTTAGAGGAAGTCATACTGTTTTTAAGAATTGTTCTTAAGGACGAAATTAAACATTTGTCTAATGGATCATAGGGGCAGTCATTCTCTTAATCTTTTAACTAATTATGTAGAAATAAACAAGTCTTTATGAGAGTCAAAACTCTTCTTTTAACATTTTTTAATCTAAAACAATAGATTATTTTTCCTTTAATTCTTTTGTAATTAAATATTCATGTTCATTAATGACATTGTTTTAAAATATGTAGGGTAGTGAAAAAACAACACACTTATAGGCTCTCTGCATAATATTTCTCCACTATAATTTATTTTAAATGTAATGCCATGAAAAAATTGCTATATTAATATTAGGGAAATATTAAGTATTCGCTCTGCAAAATAAGCAAATAGAATTGATTTTCAATTCCGATTAATTTTTCATATATACATAACGTTCGTTGTCAGGACATGGTTTCAAGAACAACTATTACAAAGATACGTCTGTCCGTAAATTACGCCTCGCAAGAAAACAAACTGATTCTTTCTAGACGTTCATTTTAATTTTCGCAGGCGATTGCCAATTGTTTTGTGTGTTAGTGCAGCAGATTGCCGCTAGAGCTGAAACTTGGGCATCGTGAAAGGAGCAGGAGCGAAGAGTCAGTTTCAGTTTTAGCTGTGCGACCCATTCGCTCGTGTGTTTGTGAATGGTGCTATTGTGATGAATTTTGTGCGAATTTGTTTGTAGTATAGTTTTTGTTTGTTAACGAACCTTTTCTGCATTCGAGAGGTAAGACAATTTTGTTTTGTTATATTCACATCAGCAGGGGTTTAGAATGTGATTTACAAACACATCGAAGTTATTGTTCGCGTTGTCAACAAAGTCTTATGTGCTGTACGTGAGTAATGTACTGAGGTACATTGTTTCATGTAGGATTTTTCGTCAATTGTATTTTTTTGTAATGGCGTTTAATTCATGCGCGGAATTATATGAAGTATATTTTAACTTTTAAAGTAATAGATTTAATAGCTCTTCAACGTCACGTCCTCGGGAATAAAGTTAGTGCAAGTGGACTATCATCGAAGCAACTATTTTATAATAATATAATTATTGCTTTATTTGTTGACTTTTTCACGGTTAATAAGGAAATACGCCACTCCCGTAAGCATGATTAAGGTACAGATCTTTACAGTTTTATCCAAGCCATAGGCATATCAACTAAACAATTGACAGTTTTTAAATTAATAGTATGCATTTCGAAACTGGTGTAGTTAATTTTAATACCTCCTTGGGCATTGGTATAAAATTAAGCTCTCTTGTAACGATTCATTTGTATAATAAATGTGAAGTTTTGCAGTTTGAGTTAAAAGAACAACAAAAAATAAATAACAACAAAAAACTTCGCAGTTTTAAAAGAAAACAACTTCAAGTAACTTAGTAAAATTGCCTTCGTTGGAAGAAATATATTTTCAGAACAGTTATTTTTGTTAGTTAAATGTTATAGAATAACCATTTCTAACATTTGTGCCAGTTGTCATCATGCGCTTGAGAACAATGTGGGAGTCTTATAGTCGTATGAAATGGGCGTGTGCCCTTGTATCAAATACCTGATAAGATACGATAACAAAGTTACGTAGGGATCTGTGCATTTTGCTCAGCCATGTGAATCTCCAGCGCTTTCTCATACTGACGTGGTCAAGTAGATTAGACATTTGAACAACCAGACATAATGAGTTGGGTAACCAGATACCATTATAGGAATTAATGACAGATGTAGAGTAGAACAGCTGTGTTTTATTATTGTTCAAAATATATTGCTAAGCTCGTTGTTTTCTCCTTTTTTTGTTGAACCGACAATGGATGCGACAATTGTGCCAACACAACCGAACAATATTGATCCAAATATTGAATTGATACCTTGCCAGATGGTTGAACAGCTTTTTTTTAAAAGAAATATAAGTGCTAAAATTATATTCGTAGCTGCAGACCCCGTGAAATTTCCACGTTTCCCCCCTCTGTTTCCAAGAAAAAACATTGTCAAATGATTTGTCGTTTTTTATTAGGGGTTCCGAACAAAGAATTGTCATTCGGAGAACGATTTTTTTCATTTTTCGGCTCCGGCTGAGGTGGTTTTCATGCATTGATTGTACAGAAATGTACTTCCTTTTGACGGCGAAACAACTCCGGAAGAGCCGGGAAAAGAAAGTAGAAGTATGGGAACCTTGGGAAATTGTGATGAGAACGCTGACTTTAGTCTTCCTTGAAAGTGAAGCTTGCTGTTGACGTTAAAAAATGACAATCTCACGCGTTATTTTTGTACATTGAATCCCAGAAATTAAAAGTTACTGGAGCATGTGTAACTCCATCTATCAACATCGCAATCATATCTACACGTGAACTCCGAGGGAGTTGACAATTTTTGACAAGTCCGTGTGGTGCAAAACGAGTTGTTGCATCCCGAACGAACCTGAGAGCGAGCGAGTATTTGTAGTGAAGGCTGATGATTTTAAGTACGAACTTAGCGGGCTCAGATTGCCAAGGTTCTCTCGGACGTCGAGGAAATTTCACAGGGGAACAATTTGAAAGTTGGGCGGTGTTCATAGGTGTGCATAGTCTAAAACAAGTGGGAGGGGTCCCAAATTTGCTTCCGTGTGGTTCTGGACCGAGAGTGGAGCGCAATGGCGAACACCGTAGAAAGTTGTTGAAAAGCATGGGTCGCAGACTTCGGCGTATTTGAGAAATCAGGCGTACATGCAACCCGTAACGCAGTATACTGCATCCCACTTGCCCATTGTGAATTACTTAGTAACAGCAAGGCCTAAGGCCTTAAAATAGTATTTCTATATAATTTATGAAGTAATACACAAAACAAGAGCTTTTTCTTCACGTTCTACGAGTTTTTCCTTTACGTTCTTCGCATGATTTTGGAAGGTTCCCTCTCCGTAATTCGGGTTGCCTGTAACACTGGGCTCCATTGTGAAGCTATTTTCACTTACGACGATTGAAAAAGTGAAGTTTGTGGGCCTTTTCGTAATTTTTGGGAGTATCCGAATATCCGCTCTTTTGGGTGCTGTAGCTATTCTGAACTTTTACGTTTCATTAGTCGGGAGAGCCAAAAAAACTTCCTCTTCCGTCATGTTTATGTATTTCGTAATAAAAAAAAAACGTCTAATTTTTTTTTGAATTTGCAATTTCATCTCCAAATTAACGAAAGGGAATGTGTGGAGGAATAGGCCTTTTAACATTCGAGGATACATTAGGGGATCTTATGGGAAACAATTGGGGTAATTGAGAGAAACGTGCCGGTATATTTACATGCGGTAAGCATGCAGGAAGAAATGCGAGGCAACATATGAGAAAAATCGGGCCAACACGCGGAGAAAACGGGGGGGGGGGGTTGTTGGCTAAATTTTTCCTTGCCCCCAAAAACTTACCCGGATAAAAAATAAAAAAAGTAAAAAAAGAGGACTTAAAAACCCACGGGTTTAAAAAAAATATTTCCAATAAATAAACAAAACCTGGAATTTATGAATCGAATTTTACATTAAAAACAGAAATTTTATCATAGTAATCACATACAAACAAATACGAAAACGAACAAAAGTACAAAAGGATGCAAACTGAATATAATTAATTTAAACTTCATTTGTTAGTATTGACATCATATGTCATAAAAGAAACAAAACCGACCTAGCCCAGAGTTAGCATTACCAGTGTCTTGCAGGAATCTGACGCTTACTTTGCCTCACAATCTGACACTCACTCTGCCTCACATGTCGGGATCATGGAGCTTGCCCCGGCTTGGAGATGTGCACCTTTGGGGGAGATAATTGAGTGGGGCAATCCCCTGCAAGTCGACGTGTATTTCGGCACCGGATCTCACCATTCGGTAAGGGAAAATACTGCCTCGTCCCGGAATAAAACATTCACTACAACAACGAAACTAATGACTTGCCCGGAAACTTTAGTCACACAAACAAATACAAAGACAACATAAGTGCCAAATACATTTGTAGTGAAATGCAAACTTGTTTTGCAGCTTTGCAACATGTTATATATTACTGAATGTACTTCACTTTGACTTTTCGAATGATGAAAACTGGTATTTTATGTAAACTAAATTTAAAAAGTAATACCACCCGTCAAAACACCCAAAAGTATCCACTGAGTCGTTTTTTAAAACCTATTTTTTTTTCAACCGAGGGGAACATGCTGGGAGCAATTGGAGCCCAAAGTTATATTTTTATGTCACGGAGTACAGATTACTGCGCTACCTACAATCGCGCGGCACTCGGAAATGATGCGTCTGAGGCCCTTAAATCCAGGTTTATGTGACACTTTCCTTCGTTTGAAAAGGACACTAGTTTTGGAGGTTCAAGAGGTCACGAGCTATGATTGTTTAGACGAACTCTTGAAAATGAGACTTTTTTGAACCTTATTTTAGATTTTGCTCTTCTAGGTGCCTCTACTCCGTAGTATAGTGGATGATCACAATTCATTACAACCTGAAGTCTTTATAAAATTAAATTGACTGTTGTCGGTGCTGTAATGATTTAACGTGAAGTTCAGGGGCTGGCCGTCTGAAGTCGAAGATCAGTATGAAGCTGTTTTTCTCTTTTAAAACTCTGATTTACGAAGTGGGAATATTCGTTCGGGTCCAGTCAGTCTATATTGTTTTATTTAAAGAATGCGAAATATGTTTACCCTGTAAGAAAATACACAAGGGAGTGGAGTAAACTATTATTCGTTGCAAGGTGTGTTCGATATACATTAATTTACTTTTTTTATTATCATACTTAATAAACTAGTGATGTTACAGGATGTCACGGATTTTCTCTCACTGGTTAGTTTTCTAATATCTTCAGTCTAGGTTAGCTTTTCGATATTTCCCCATTTTCTTCTCTACTGCTAGCTGTCGGCGCCTAAAATACCTTTTTATTTATTTTTTCTAATTTTTTTGTCTCCTAATAAAAGAATTTAAATATGTCTTTAAAAATATTATAGGAGAATAAAATATGGTCTTACATCCAAATCTTATATGAAAAATTCGGAGCCGTTCTTGAGAAACTGTTGAGTCGGACTGACACGAACTATTGACTGAGACAGATATACTGACCGAGGGACGGGCAGATAGATAGACATTTTGCCGTAGATCAGTTCAAGCAGTATCAGTTCAAAGACCAGTATGAAGGACCCTCAAAACGTGGATTCTGACTGTATAAAGTGTTAGAGGAAGTAATGTACTACATGGAGGAACACGAATTATCATTTTCGGTATCAGATTCTACTTAAGAATTTGTCTGTTGAATTATCGCAATTTTTCGTAGCAACTCTACGTACGCACATGTAAATTATTTTTACATAGGCTATTATAGTATCGGAAAATATACGAGCTATTGCAACCCACCACACACTTAGCGCTGCAACACTTCCATAACATCTCGCAGAACTCGGAAAAACGCACGTTCTAGCGTTGAGGAACATGGTTATGTGATGCGTTTCTTAAGGCGACTTCTACAAAATGAGATCTTTTAGATCGGTCTGCTATATTTTCGGAGTGGAGCTTTTTTACGGACTTCAGCAATTTAGGATGTTCTTTTTCACTCGCCAGAGTGACAATGCACTATACATGCAAATTCAAATTTCGAAAACATAACAAAGGATTCTATAATTATTTCGCGGCCCGTTTTAGGAACAATGGCGGATAAAGTGGGTTCTAGAAAACGAGCTGTTTTTCCCATTCTGTATTGTATGTTTTGATTTTTATCTGTTCTGGATATCCCCACTCT